ACCCCCAAAAACAAAAAAAACCAACCAACCAAAAAAAAAAAGGAAGAATCTTCTGATTTTTAAAAAGAATCTGTCTTAAAGGACAACATTCCCCACATTTTGCTGCCACAGCAGCTGCTTGCAGTACAACTGGGGCATGCCACCTAGGCAGTACTGGAGTTATTCCAGGTGCACAGAATTGTAGGCAATAGAGTACAAAATACAGCACAGGCTTACTCAGGCTGGGCTGGGTTTAGACAGTCACATCTGGTCCAGAAAGATAAGTGCAGTGGAAAATTGGCTTGTTTGGCTAACTAGTTCACCTCATCTGATTCTGTTTGCTCAGGAGGTAATCCCCATAGGATATTTTCAGTTTGGGTTTTTTCCTCCATCTTGGAGAAAAGCTTGAGGAGACACAAGGAGAGGGAGAAAATGCCTCACTGCCAGTTTGTTGGAAGATATAAAAATAAACTAGAGCCATCAATTAAGAATAGGCAGTTTTCACACTTACTGAGAAGTGGTTTATTCCCACTTTCACTAGTGGTGCTAAACAGTTATCTGTGCCTACCTCCAGCTAAAGGACACTCAACTCATTGTCACTGCAAGCTTTGCTGGACAGCAGCGAGAAGCTTTCTGAGGGCAAGCACTGATCTGGTGAGTCTTTCTTCCCACCTGAATTTTACCAGTAATTAAAAGCTCTCTGCCACAGAAGTAGATATTCCCGTACGTGTGGCAGGAGAAGAAATGTCAGGACAGCTGAGAATCTACCCTGTGTTTCCTTTGGTGACATACCTTGTAGTTTTTAGCTAGATATTGAACATGATAGTGTTAATTTTTTCTTTTATTCCTTACCTTTCTCTATATTATTCTGTTTGTTATATTTTTCTGTCTCATATATCATTCTATTTCTTCTTCTGTTTGGAGGAGTGATAGGTTCCTTGTGGAAAGGAATGCAGGTCTCATCTGTTTTTCATAGCTTTTCAGAGCTAAGACATATTAAAGGCTACAGTCCTGGTGAGCATGAGCACCAGGATGACAACGCATGAGCACAATCTCTCAGATGCTTTGGTTGGAATGAGCTGGCTCAGTTGGCTGGAGTAATTCAAGGCTATTATCCTGAACATCAGAGGGTTCCAGATCTGGTTGCTATTCTTACTTCAATAAAAGTTATATATTCAAGGACTAATACCTTGGACTTGGTTTAAGTCCTAAAGCCTGATTTTTAATCATTCTTGGGAAAATTCCCTAATTTCTGAAGAATACCTACTGGTGAAGATGCCATCAGCTCTTGTTAAGAATTTAATTGCATGTAGGGAGGTAGATAAATTTTCAAACTTTGATCTTAATGTTGTTTTTTAGATCCTAAATAGCTTTCAAAAATCTGTCTCTGCACATCTGGCAGAAGATGTTAATTCTTTAAACATAAAATTATGTTCATGTTCTTCTGTGAATACAAATGGAGAAATCCTGCTGGGCATCTCTCTAAAAGGCACTTTGTCTGAAGTAGCTATTATTATTATTATCTTTGATATGGATTTTTCAAAAAAAGAGATTCACCCATCTAACAAATATTTTCCCATTTCCACAGCACTTGGTTTCTATGTGATGTGACCTGATTAAAACTGTTTTTTGTACAGGATCAGCAACGAGCCAAGTGCACCCTTCCAGAACACCAAATGGATGACTCCTTTACCCCGTGATTACTTGTGAATTGGTGACCTTCAGTTGGCGACCTGGTGCCACTGTAAATTAATCATGGCAGCAAAGTGATATTTAGGGAGTGTAATAACCACAAATGACCTTGGTGTAATGCCTCTCTCAGGAGAAAGCCAAGCTCTCATTCTCTGTGATCTCAGGTTTGTAATTCTTTTCCACTGTAGAAGCAGCATCAAAAGGTGATGTGTAAAGTGAAACATAAGGCATAATGTCTATCTGGCAATTCAAAGTTTCTAATTCTTTGTTCCAAAACAGGATGTGATAAAAACCCCAGCAATAAAAACCCCAGCAATAATTTCCTTTCCCCATGGTAGCAAACACCATGTTGTCTTTTTCCTTACAGTATTAAGCCTAGGTGTATGCATTTCCTTTTTTTTGTATCGCAGGCTTTTGTCATATTCTCTGGAATTCAACATGCAACTCTTCATATAGCACAGTGGTGCTTATGACAGCTGACACAGTGAACACATATACAAATATATATATATATATGAATACTGGCCAGATTTTGTTATGCTCATTCTTGTGAGCTAGTATTTGATATCAGACACTAATGAGTCTGATCAAGGAAACCTTTAATTTTTTTATGCTGCAGTAAAAGTCTTTGTCCACTAGCCAAGAGGTGATTTTGCATTTAGAACTAGTTATTGTCAATATTGTTTTTCATACTATTTCATGTACAGCCATGACATTCTGTGGTGTTTCTCTGATTTATTATTATTGCTTCCACCTGAAGCATTTATTGAATTCTGTTGCTAAGACTATGACTATACATTTCCTTTGTGAATGGATATTAAACAGAAACTGGGCAGAGGAGCAGTGCCTGGACCTGCTGAAATCATATCTTCAGGTGATATTTTGAAGCTGTCACTCTACATCCAGTGAAACGTCTGTGTTCAATTACCAAGGAGATTATTAACAGAGGACTGCTCTTCTCTCTCCAGAACATTAATCTCAGAAGGCATCAGGAAAAAACCCAGGCTTCTCATAAGATAAATTCTGCAAAAGAAGGGTAAAAAACTGTATGCATAAAATGTACTTCCTTATCTGCCAACAAATGTGGAAGTTGTGCCAAACCCTTCAGTGCAGAAGAGAGCTGCCAAGTATTTCCCAGATGTGGTACACACACTAGTGCTGGCCATGGAAACCAGGAGGTATAGATAGATATTAAGGGATTTGACTGCTCTTTTGTAGAAAGTGTAGCATATATCTCATATATCTGGTGCATGCATCCTGATGTGGCTCATGGCATTTAGCTGGGATACCTTGAAACTCTGCTAAACTGCTGGGAGTGCAGTTTAGACATGAGCAGCCTGAGCTCATGTCTTTCAAAGCTCAATAACAAGAAAGGATAAAATAGAGAAAGAGAAAGCACACATTTTTATTTCTCCCTTCACACTGTTTCTTTATGATGAAACCTGTAATAGCCAGATGCTCCTCCTAGTATTCTCTGAATCCCCAGGGGCTTTCTATGGATCTGGGACTGCAACTAAGCAGTGGCTCATGCTTTTGGACAGGTTTGTTCACATGCATCCAAAAACGGATTCAAGGGGCTTGCAGTATGCCAAACAGCCCCCTCCTCTTGTCTGTAAAATGAATTCCCTTGAAGGTTATGTAGTAAGGCTAGGAAAAAATTATGTGCATTCAGTGTGAAACATCCCCTTGTAAACTGTGCTCCTTATCAAAATGATCAGATGATGAGATGGTGGGGTGGGTGCAATCTATTTATGCATCTGCCCATCCATATATCCATGTAAAATGACACTCAGTATGTTTCTAATTTTTTTTCCCTATGTTGCTGTATTTTCATTGTTTTTATATTTTACATGCTTGTCTCATTTTTTTCTATTTGTTTGTTTGATTGATAGGTTGTTTTTTCTTTCTGGCTCATTTTTATATTCTGTCTTCACATGTATCTTCAGGTAAAAGGAAAATAAAGATTCCAGTCCCTGAGTGCCAGAAAGTGTCACTTCCCTTGAGATTCAGCTGTCACTAGACACTCAAACCTCTCCACTCCTCATGTCTTCCCAAAAGCACAGGATGCTGCTGTGCACCTGAAACTGTGCCCCTGGCATGGTCCCTGAGCCAATTCCTCCCCCTCTCAGCAGGGATAATCAGATCCTCTCCTCTGTCAGCTGATGAATCCACACTGGGACTTTTGGAGACACCTGCTCATCTGCTGGCTCCTGCTCTGCTGCAGCCAGGGCCAAGTAAACTTCAAAATTAAAACTCACAGAAAATTCATCACAAACAAGGGCAGACAACCACAATTATCTCTGATGAAGTAGCATAAGGTCAAATCTTCTACACAAGATAAGTAGGAGTGCTACATTTATTCTTGGGAGGTTATTTTTCATTCCCCTGCCCCCCAAAGGAAATAGCCCTAAGCTTTGCCAGCCAATAGCAAGTCGAGTTGAAATTCCAATCTCTGTTTCATCCCACTATGATATCCCGAGAGTGTAATTGCATCACAAGATGTCAGTCCCAACACAGGGATGCTAAATGGACCTAAAGAGCTCTTTGAAATCTCCGTATAAATTATCTTTCTGGAGCCAAACCAATGCACATTTTCTGCCTTCACATGCTGACACTCTGTGCACATTTACCCTGACTCACACTCTGGCTTTAATGGCACTTTGACAATAAGTAATCCTGGCAACAAGCTGCACATGGACAACGGCTTGTTCTCCCCATTTCTGTTTCACCCTCACAAACAGTTTCATGAAATACCCCCAGTCTGATGATTGCTTCAGGTCAGATGGGGATTTGGAGCGGGTGGGGTGGAGAGGGGTCCACCTCACCTCGCCTTGGTGTGGCCATTCCAGCAGTCCTCCTCGACTGACGGACCGGCTGTCACTCGCTCGTCCTTGCAGATTGTGTAGGGCAATGTGGACCAGAACTTTTTAGAGAGCTTTAGCTTTTCTTTAATGTCTGTTACCTGATTGAGAGACAATGAGAGGGCAAACAGATTAAAAAACATCAGCCACGCTAATTATAGTGTTAAACAATACATTGTTTAAGTTTGTAATGGTGATGATGGTGAAGGTTAAAAAAGCTAAAGGTGCTAAAACTTAATTTCCCGTGTTTAAAAACAAGACACCCAGAATTTGAGTTCAGAGCATACAAACAATCAAAGTCACCTTTTTCCACAGGCAAGACATTAATAAAAGCATGTTGCATCTTGAGCTTCCTAGTCTCCATTTACCTAAGGTTTTATAAATATACACCTTTTTAAGAATTAATATGCTTCACAGTCTACTGAATGTGAATTCAGTTAAACAGTGTATATCAGATAAACCCACCAGCTTGGTCATGTCTTAGAAAAATATTATATAGACAGCTACATGTGCAGGTTCTTAAAAAATGATGCAGTGCTGAGCTGATGTTGAACTGATTTAAGATACATGGGCTGAATACATTGCTGTACATTTGGATCTCAGTTACAGTGAGAAGTCATGCAGAGAATATATTCATCTTTCCTATTATGTGTAGATAAATATCTGTAGGTGAATACAAAATCTGCATGCAAGAAATGTTGTGACAGTATCGAAACAGTTTCTTTACCTTATAAATTCCTTGAACAATAATTTAATTTGGCATGATTCAGGCTGCAAGCAGGAGCAAACTGAATTTCCAGCATCAACTTAATAAATAAATGCTCTGACTAAAATTTTATCAGTTCTTGTTTTGTGTATGGTATACCAGAGTGGAGAAATCTACAAGAACAGATAGAAAAAACAACAGAGGACAGACTACAAAGGATGAATGCTGCCACTGTTGTTCTTATGGAAACAGATGCATTTCACATTAAGTTGTAATAGGATTTAGGGGAGCTTGTTGAATAGCTTTTAAAGGAAATCGCTAAGCTTTGTTCTTTAAAAAAACCAGGAAATAAATGCTCTCCATTCCTCCGTTCAGTTTTGAGATTGTCTTTTAGGTTGTTGAAGTACAATATTGTACTCGGCTATTTATCTCTTTTATCTTTTTTTCTCAGGACATGATAGCTCTCCTTGCAAATGGTCTATGCTGCTTTGCCATGCTTAAACTCTGTGGAATGTCACTTTACAAGCCAGAAGATAGAAACAGCTGAGGATGTTATTTCAGAGGCACTGTTTGAATTTTCATCCACAAGAAATAAAAAATAAGAAAGAAATAAAAGAAATGAGAAGAGGACAATAAAAAAAAAAATGTAAGAAGAAGAAATAAGAAATAAGTAGGACAGTATTTTTCTGCATGGGATGTTGACAGTATTTCTTGCCAAGATAGACACCTTATAAATCTCCTCCACACCCCTTGCCAAGCCCCAGTTACTTTGTTTTCACATGAGATATCAGTGGCATTTGCAAGCCTTTAAAGTCTCTATAGGGGAGCCCTGTCAAGCCAAAAAATCAATTCCAGTTTACAGGCTGTGAGCAAGGCTTTGGCAGAAGTGGAGACCAAGGATGCCTACCCTTTCTGATGTCCTTGGTCCATGGGACCAGGGCTTCTGGGGAGACAGCAATCCCTCTTCTTCCCTTTCTGCCCATGCTGAGGGTAAAAACCCCAAGGTATCTACTGGGACAGCTAACCAGCCCAAGCAACATTGTTCATGGTGTGCAAATTCCTGCTAGGACACTGTGAGAATAGAGAAAGTCTATAGAAAGTGTAAGGAAGAAAGAACAGTGGGTGGAGGATCCATTAATGTAAGTTTGGTGAACATGAAAGTCAAAGGGATCGATTTTCTTATTATAGCTTGTGACTGGATAACTATTTACACAAATAATCTTTACACAAATTAATATTGGTGGTGAGTAATTTGCTTTCAGACCAATAATTTCATTGCTTGCTGGAAGTTATGTAAAGCTATCAAAACTCAGATGTTTAGACTTACATTCAGATTTTGCCCATATTCAAATTAGAGCTGGTGTTTTAGGACTTGCAGACTTCTGTTTTCAACAAGTGATTCAACACCCATTGGAAAGTAATTTTCCCCCTACCCTTCTAAGAGCTGTAATTTGGAGTAGAAGCCTTTCATTTTCATAGAAGCTAGCAAAAGAATGGAGAGATTGTTACTCTCACGCTGCACATGCTCTCCAGATACTCCCTGAAAATCAAAATGAGGACTCCCATTCCCCAGTCTTTTCTGAAGATATTAAACTGTGTTTGTGTACTGTATATTAGATAAAAAAAATCATTAAATTTCCTAACAGATTTTTTTAAAAATTCGTGTTGAGGAAGTACACATGATAAAATAAGATGGTCTTACTTTATTCAGGATCATTGGTAAATGACAACTAATTAAATCTCAGAGGCATCCTCCTGAGGTGTTATTCCTATTTTAGAGCCTGGAGGGCAGCAGACATTTGCATGATTCACAAAAGGCAGCAATAGTAAAAATGACTACAGCTTAGGGAAAGGTTACCATTTACAGCCTCTAAAGATGCCTTTCATTCAGGTGCATTTAAATTTTTTTTTTTTATGACTTCAGATATTTCCCTTCACAGCTATCTCCTACCTCACGCCTCCCTATTGCATTTTTTCACCATGGAGATTTACACAGCCTGTGTGGACTTAGTCTCTGAAGTCTTGTCCCTTCCTGCTGTCTGACCAGACCTGCATTAATCCCCAGTTTTTAGCACTGGAGTTTGCACATCTGTCTAACTGGTTCTGCAAACCTCATCCTGAAACTTTCTGGAAGTGCAGTGTGGTGTCCGGTGGCTTTGCTAAAGGAGTTCTGAGCACTGAGGGAGCCACCTCATCTTTCAGGGAGCAGCCCAATGGCCACCTCTGTGAGATGAATGTTTGGGCAGGCAATGACTTTGGAGTACTTTTAATGTAACTTTAAGTGCAGAATAGAATTAGGAGATGTAATGCCTACCATGACACGTTAAACTTTTGCCTGTGGATTTCAGAGGCTTCAGTTCTAGGATCTTGTCAAGCATGACCACAGAAATTCTCTTATTAGTCCCCATGGTTACACATACTCCTCTGTACATTGTTTTGATCACCACCAGCATTTAAAAACTATGTAACAGATGTAGAGACCCTTGAAAATGAGACAAAACCCACTAAGGACTCAGTTAACACTGCTTGCTTGTGATTTATGAAGTCAGACTACTGTATTCCCTAGTGACCTGTGGCCTTGTAAATGATTCCTCGGTATTTCCTATTCTTTGAATTTAAGATTAACTTTCAAGCTTGGTTAGGCTTCTGTGGAAACATTTAAATATGAGACATATGCAGTTTTGATATTTTACATATTTTCTTTCCACTTGCTCTAGCAGAGATTTATGGGGATTAAGATGCCTGGATATCTTTGGCTGTAGCTAGCCTGATTTTCCCTAGTTATCTTCCTGACATAGCCCTGATATTATATTGAAATACCCTTTTTTCAGCTACTTTGAAGGTATGAAACTTATTCTGAATCACAATATTTTCTCATTAAAAACAAAAAAAGATACAGCAAGAACCACTCAAAGAGTTAATTTTTTAATCTATTGGGGACATAAAAAAATGTATATTAAAATAGCCTTTTCTTGATCTATAACTGCTAGAAGAAGAAAGGCATTACTGTGTAAGAGAGAAAAGTTAAATATTTTCATAATTTTCAAAGAGAAACTCATATCCAGAGTTATGGGAATGTTATACCCTCACATTGAAAAATACAGTTTATTTTGTATTTCTGCCACTGACTTCTTATGCAACCAAGTCAGTATGTATGTCATGCAATTCCTCAGCAGAACTTGGAAGGGCACCCATGAGCTCAGTTCCAGGCCCACCAGCATGAGCTTAGTTATAAGCTAAATAAAGCTGACACTAAGATAGAATAAAATAGAATAAAATAGAATAGAATAAAATAAAATAAAATAAAATAAAATAAAATAAAATAAAATAAAATAAAATAAAATAAAATAAAATAAAATAAAACTACTACACCCATGTTTCTGTCTTTACCCACCTTGCATGCCAAAATCATGAAGAGAGCTAAAATCAAGCCTGTCACTTTACTAGGAATCCGATCCTAGCATTCCTTGCTTTATTTTGGGACATTTGGATAAAATGACAATTCAAAGTAAGTTTTGAATATACCATGTAAAAATAAAGGTGTGCTGAATACCAGTTTCACAAGGCATGGAAGATTGCAGAAAGACCCTTGCTTCTGAAGCAGGCAGACAATTGCCAGTGGAATCACTTTGGCTTAATTTCTGATGGAAGAATGCTTGCTTGGCAGTGTGATAAAATACACGCAGAAGCAATTGGGGAGAAAAAACAAATTTTAAATGTGGAGTCCCTAAAATAATTTAAAAAAAATAAATTCTTTTTTTTTTTTTCTTTTTGTCCTGATCTGCCAAATCCTCCCCCGTCAAGACCAGCTCATATTTCTTCCAGATTTATCATCCCTAGCCATATGATTCCTACTTTCAAAGATAAAGGGCTATCATAAGATGCTAAAATTGTGTTCAAAGATGGTGAAATGCACACAAACCTCATGTAGGTTCAATGCAATAAATAAAATAAAATAATATGGAGCCTTTATGTTAAGAAGAAATGTTTCCCATAGTCTCTGTTTCTTCTTTCTGATGTTTTTGAATTGCATTTTTTTCTTGTTCATTCTGCTATTTGGAAAGATTTTCCTTTTGAAGTGAAAGCAGAATATTCAGCTTGCCTTTCTGTCAACACCTTCTCCTTGTGGCTGCTCAGAGATGTCTTGATGCAAAGCCCATCGAGAATTAAGCCTTTATGACCTGGAAAAACGTACAAATGTTTCTGGTTGTTCACCATAAGTTGCTTCTCTGGGGTTCTGGGGTGCCACCCCAGATGTTTTGCTGTGGGTTGTATGGGGCAGCAGAGATACTTGGCAGGTGTTTCAAGTGGCTGCTTGTGATGGGGAGCTGCAATTTCAGGGACTTCAGGCTGCATGTGTAAAGTGTATCCTGCCAGTGTGTCACACTGACAGGA